AATAATGTTAAACTATTATAATTAATATAAAAACTATATTTTCAATTTATTGTATAATAAATTATATTTCTATGCATACTTGCAAGTTATGCAAATTAATATAATTTTTTAATTTTCTTTCAGAGACCTAAACTTTTTTAGGACCTCTTATTTCACAATGAGAGTGAGCTTCAGAAATAAGTGAAATGTAAGATTAGATTAATTTCTTTTTATCTTTGTATTTAATATCTTTAAAATTGGTCAGGTACCAATTTTCAATAATATTTCTCCACTAGAACTGAATCTATTCACTCAATAAGTATTATTATAAATTCCATAATGGAGAATAGAGGCTCCAAAAATATTTCTTTTTTCTTAATTTCAAAATGGCATATTTCTATAATGCTTCAAGAAGCCAAAACCATTTTATATATAAAGATAGCCAAGGGTCACCTACGTCATTTGAAAAAAATTCAATCCATGAGACTTGGGCAACTCTGGGAGTTAATAAAAGCGCAACCCTTGGTAAAACAACAAAAAAAATTGACCATTTTAAAATCAAAAAGTAACCATCAAAAAATTTAAACTTCACTATTTTCTCAACATTTTTGATCTTAGCACCTTCAAAAGGTGCCCATTTTTAGCCACAGGTAGGTACCCATTTTAGCCACAATGATCCACAAAATTTTAAGTTATTTATTAAATAGTACAACTTTTTAGGCTGAAAAACTACAAAATCCATAATGGCGGACTTAAAAAAAAATGGAATGTTTTAGGCTGAATGTCAAAGTGTCTTAACTTTTAAACCCTTTGGATTTGATAGCTCAAATTTTACATTTTTTCTTTATTCATTGTTATGTACCACTGGGTAAAATTTAAAGAAAATCCGAGAGGTGACTGAAACAACTGTACCAGTTTAAAATGGAGTTACCCTAAGTAATTAGGGCTGCCATGGAAAACAAGTCACAAAGTTGACTATTTGAGCAAGAGATTAAGAAATCAAAAAAGTTATCAACTTTAGAGCCAGAAAGGTCAGTACAATAACAACAATATTGACTAAAAACAACAACAATAACAACAATATTGTCTAACAACAACAACAATATTGACTAAGGAAAAATAAGAGTTCAATTTGGTAAGAAAACAACATCAAAAATAGTGCACTCTCAGAAAGAAGGAAAATGATAATAAAAATAAATAATGAAACAGCAATTTATAGCAAAGAGGAGAATTGGATGAAATTGGAGGCCAAAAGTGAAGTGCAAGCGATAGAATATAAAAGAATAGTTAGAGGATTCAAACTTGAATTAGTGATAAATAATTCAATTGGTATTTAGAACTCGTGACAAATAATTCAATTGGTAATTGTTAATTGGAATTCGTGAATTAAATTATTATATAATAGTTTAATTAGTAATTAAAACTTGTAACAAAAAATTCCATTGGTAATAGGAATTCGTAATAAATAATTCCATTGGTAATTGGAATTTGTGACAAATAATTCAATTGTTAATTGGAATTTGTGACAATTACTTTAACTGGTAATTGGAACTAGTGACAAATAATTCAATTGGTAATTGGAAATTGGAATTCTTTATATCAACTAACTATATAATAATTAAATTGGTAATTGGAACTTGTGACAAATAATTCTATTGGTAATTAGAATTCGTGACAAATAATTCAATTAGTAATTGGAATTCATGACAAATATTTGAACTTGTGTGTAAGTATAGTACATGACAATTGGAGTCTTTCTAAAAGACATTAATTTGAAGTCAATTTGGGTTGTTTGTTTTTTTAATTTAAATTAAATTCACAAAGAGCAAATAGGTCTGGTAAATTTGGCAAAAGGTAATATTAAACTTGTGAAAGTATACTTTTGAGATTACAAATATTTGAAAAGATAAAAATTTAATGGTAATGTTTTTGTTTTTTTGTTTTTTTGTGTGTGTGATGTGTGTTATTTGTGTGTTTAATATGTGTATTATTAAAAAAACAGTATGTGAATTATTCAATAAACGGTATGTGTATTATTCAATAAACTGTTGTATTATTTCTGCTAATCAAATCCAAATTGCAACCAAGGGTACTTTATATAAAACGGACATCTTGTAAACCAATACATTTTTTGTAAACCACTACCTCTCTTGTAAACACCTACATCTTTTGTATACTACAATAAAAATTCTTTTAAATATCACTACATCTCTTGTAAACCACTAAATCTCTTTTATAACACTGCATCTTATGTAAACCACTTCCAACGTATACAAACAGTAGAACTTGTTTGTACAGTTTAGAACATATTTAATAACAAAGAATTATGTTTATTATAATGACTTACGAGAAATCATTAAAAGTATAATTATTTTCATGATTATTTTTAACTAAAAAATTTATTCATTCAACTTGCATTTGTTGATAATGTTAATAAAATTAAAATTTTTATATAATATATTATTGAAATTACCAATTTTAAGTTTAAAATAACCTTTTTTAAGATTATTTCTAATTTAACAAATTCTTTTTTAATTTTTTTTATTTCTAAAAGTTTTTATTTGTTAGCTCATAAAAGGATTACGAATCAAAATATGGTATTTACTTACTATAAAAATAATTTAAAATAAAATAAAAAAAAACATTCTACATAACATATAGCCTTTCTTGGAAAATGCAATAAAGACAGAATGGAGGCCTAATAACATTGAAAACATTTAGCTTTTGTAGTTTTCTTTTTTAAATTTTTTTAAATAGATATTTTAAAAAAGTGTTTTGATGCAAAATTGAGAGGTTTTTTGAGGATTTTTAAAAATAATCATATTAATTGTAATAAAAAAATATGTTTGGATTTTAGAAATTAATTATTTTAAAAACTTCCATTATAAAATAAATCAGAAGTTAAAATAAAACATTATCTATGTAAAATATTTAATGATCTAAAAAACTAAATAAAAGTTTCAAATAAGAAACCAGAGGTTATTTATGCCTGAGTCTTTTTTTAAGATATTAAAGTTTTTTTTTTTGCCACAATTAGTGAATCATAATTATTTCTATAATTCTTTATTAAATGCCAAAAAAATTTTTGTAAAATAAAAATAAAATATTGCAATCAGTTTTTAGATTTTGCAAATTGTTTTTAACAATTGTAAGTATAAATATATAAATATATTTTTATATTAAAAAGTTAGCATTCTTTCACATCTTAACAAAATACATAATATCTGTGTGAGAAAATATTATATCAAATTTATTTTTTATTTATAAAGCAGAAAAATTTTTTCGATATGAAATTTTTTTTTTCAATAATTTCTCTGGTTATACTGACTTGCTTCACGTACAGAGTAAAGAAAAAAGAAAAAACACTTAGAGAGAGTTCAGGGTAAATAAAAAAAAAAAAAAAAAGAAATGTTCAAAAAGATTACAGAGCAGAAAAAAAAGAAAAATCACTCAGAAAGTGGAAGAAAGAATAAGAAAAAATAAGGATGAAAAAAAAAAAAAAAAAGGATAAATTTAAGGTCATTTTTTATTGTGAATTAATATCCAAGTTTTTGAAAAACTCAAAACCACCTAGTGAAGCAACTAATCATTGAAGCAACCGTTTTTATGTTAAAATACTTTGGTTTTTAAAGAACTTTTCTTACTGCAATGTAAAAAAGATTTTAAAACTAGTTTTTTATTCTTTAATAAAAGCAGATAAATATACTTTTAAAATTATATCTTAAAGCAATTTAGAATCCTGAACAATTAAAAAACCTAGAACAATTGAAAATCCTGAACAATTGAGAATCCTGAACAACTGAGAATCCTGAACAATTGAGAATCCTGAACAACTGAAAATCCTGAACAATTGAGAATCCTGAACAATTATGAATCCTAAACTAGATTTCAATCTGATAAAAAAAAAAGCAGAGATGATAATACATACAATCTACATACTATGAAATTAAAGAATGAAGCAAAAAACTCTTTTTTTATTCAGGCATTTAAAACTTAAGTCCATAAAACTTAGAACCACTTTAGCAAAAAGTTTGTAAATACAAAATTAATTTTTTCAAAACAAATAAAGGTTTTGGTAAAATTATAAATCTATGTGAAAATTTTATTATAAAAAATTTTTTTATAGATTTATATTTTTACAAAAAATTATAAATCTAAAAAAGTTGGAATAATTTTTTGATGAAAAACTCATTTCCCATACATCCCTAATGTATGGGTATATATATATATACATATATATATATATATATATATATATATATATATATATATATATATATATATATATATATATATATATATATATATATATATATATATATATATACATATATATATATATATATATATATATATATATATACATTTATATATATATATATATATACATATATATATATATATACATATATATATATATATATATATATATATATATATATATATATATATATATATATATATATATATATATATATATATATATATATATATATATATATATATATATATATATATATATATATATAGTAATGCATATATTATATGCAATATTTCACATATATATAATTTTTATATTTCATAACATATTTATAATTTGACATACAAAGACTTCGTTTAATGAAAAAGTAATTTTTATTAAACAACTAATAAAGCGTTGATTAAAATAACTTATCATCCTTTATTTTCAAAGCGTTGATTAAAATAACTTATCATCCTTTATTTTTATGGGAGAGTTTTGTAGGGTTTGGGAAAACCCGGCATTTTTAGACCCAACAAGCCTGAGTCGAGCCTATATTCATAGGCTCGAGATTTATAGGGTTCAAGATAAGGTCCGGGTCTAATACGTCTTTTTGTCTTGAAACTTTAACAATAGAATGATTGGATTTTTCGTGTTTCCTCCAATTGAAAAAATAGATTTGGTAAATTTTTTGGTAAATAAAACTTTTTGTTTCAAAGCCAAACTTAAATATACTAATGAATAATTTTACTTATGTTAAACTACCAAATCGACATGACAGTACTTTAAAAAAATATATAATATAAATTAAAATACTTATAAGTGTTTAATATAGAATATTTTATTTAGTTTTTCCTCTAGTGTTGATGCTAATGCGTTTCCTGTAGTATTTTTATTATTTTCAGTTGAATGTCCCTGTTCATAATATGTATTTTGTTGTTCTTCAATTCTATCAAAAAATCTCTTCAATAAATCTGTAAATTTTTGTATTTTCTTTGGCATAGTACCATTTACAGGAGAATCTAATAAAAAATAGAAAAAATAAAAAAATATAGAATAATTTATTTAGTTTTTTCTCTAGTGTTGATGTTAATGCGCTTCCTGTAGTATTTTCATTATTTTCAGTTGAATGTCCCTGTTCATAATGTGTATTTTGTTGTTCTTCATTTCTATCAAATAATCTCTTCAATAAATATGTAAATTTTTGTTTGAAAATTTGTAAATTTTCTTTGGCATAGTACCATTTACAGGAGAATCTAATAGCTCTTCTAAATCTTGGTTTTAATGGCAATTTATTTGAGTTATTTATTGTCATTAATAGCTCTCTACTTAAATTACCATTATATTCTTTTAAATTTCTTTTCATAAAATCAATTGCTAATTGGAATGTTGTAAGATTAGCATCGTTTCTGCTAAGAATTGTCAACTCATGTTTAATATTAATATTTTCTATTAAGTGCTCACTTCCAATACCTTAAGGAGCTTCTTCAATGATGATTGAAAAAACAATGAAAATTGTTTTAAAATACATTGGTGAATAATATAATTCATATTTTGATTATATAATACCTCTTTCTGGATTATGTTTACCCGACAATTTTTTAATTGATAATTTTGACCTAACAGTCAATTTTATTAAATTTTTTTGACTGTGGGCCTCCCTAATAATAATATAAATACAGCCCTATCTAAGCATGCTATTAAGCATCAGATACAGCTGTCTAGAAAAGTTAGGTATTCACAAAACAAGCACCACAGAAGAGCATTTAACTAGAAGTTCACATTTAACTAGAAGTTCACTAGATTCACAAAACAACCTGCTGCGTATAAAACAAGGCCAGGAGTTCAAATCACGAAACTCGCCGAGTCTTGGACCGGGTATCAGTTCCAGGTAATTAGCTACAGACTCGCCAAACCTGAATACGGGTACCCAGAACCAAAAAACCCTAGAGTTTTGAGAAACCTCATCTCTGAAATAATGCAAGATAAAAGATTATCACAATTAATATAGGAGATAAAAGATTATTATAATTAATATGAAACAATATCAATTAAAATATTAATTATAAAACGTACTTACCAATGAGTTAATAATTGTTGAAACATTTAGTAAGGTTTCCTCATTGTTCCATCTAAATAATCCATTCAGATTTACAAGAAATATGCTGACAACATCCGCATTATCTGAAATCATCCACTTAATTAGCTGATTCTTACATACTTTAATGTTGAATAGTGTTCCAATAAAATATGCAGCAGATCCTGAAAAACTGTATATATAAAATTACTTATTATCAATTATTTCAAAAAACTTGTACATAGAAACAGGCACAAGGTCTTTAGATAAATTAAAAAAAAAAAAAAAGGAAGAAAAGTATAAAACAATTTAATGTTAAAATGCTATCAATATTCATATTTATTCTCAATATATAAATTTTGAAATTGGGGTATGTGCAGTTTTAATTTATGAGGTTTTTACAAAAAAATAAAAAAGCAAATAAATAATGAAATAAATGATTGTTGCAACAAACCTTTATTCATTTTAATAGAATACCTTGCATGTTTTCCATATTGAGTGTTATAATGTATCTTTGTGTTAATATTGTTAATTTGTAATAATATAAATAACTATTGGCATAATCTTCCAATATTGCAGATAGACACATATTAAACTATTTCTTTCCATCTTGCCTAAAACCAAAGCAGAAACTGCTGTAACCATTTTTACACAATGCTATACAACTTGCATGTGACATTAACTTTTCCAAATAATCCACGATCCTCTTTTACCTCTATCAATATTTTTTTTTAGGTTATTTAGGTGCTCCCGAAAAGTCAATACGGTCTTATTAAAGAGCTCCACAGAAGAGCATTTAACTAGAAGTTCACGCAATATCGCTTTTTGGGCTAGAGCTGGAATCAAACCTCGGACCTCTGGCTTCTGAGTGAAAACTTTAACCACATGCTTCACAGCTGTTCTTTTGCTCATCAGTAATCATGATCATCATGGCCTTCTCTGAATTACTCAAAATAAACTACTCCATGTATTATTTGCAATTAAATTTAGACTAGAAGCTTTGAGCTACCCCTCTCTGTCTGTCTGCTTTCTCAAAAAAGGCATTTGTTTGAAAAACTGAGTATATTACCTTATACTGATACTGTGATTTGACCATGAATGAAAGAGGACATCTTCTTTATGTGGGATTTTATGTGGGATTTTTTTTTTTTTTTTATTTGCATTCACTCCCAACAAGGCTGCAAGCAACCACTATTAAGTTGGGAGTTACTAGGAAAAAAAAGAACAGAGTTATAGAGCAAGGAAACGGTTGACAGAAGACTTGAAAAGTTGAAGGTTGTATGAGTCAGGAAAACATGAAGATGGGAGAGAGTTCCAAAGGATTGAAGTGCGGGGAAAAAAACTAGATGAATAAAAGTTTTTAGAACATGCAGGGACAGATACAGTAAACGAATGAGACTTAGCTGAATGACGAGTAAAACGAGAATGAATTTTAGTTGATGGAACTAGAGATGATAACTCCTTTGAGCAGTGACCATGATAGTATCTGTAGAAAAGAGAAAGAGATGCAACTTTACGACGATGGGAAAGAAGTTCAAGCTTAGCAGATAGTCCAGGTCCAACAACATTTACAATGCGTTTTTGGACCTTTTCAAGAAGAGAAAGTGAATCGTTAGAAGAACCAGCCCAAATATGACAACAGTATTCCATACAGGGACGAATAAGAGATTTGTAGAGGTAGAGAATGGAATCAGAAGTAAGAAAATGGCGAGCACGATAAAGAGAAGCAACCTTAGCAGAAGCTAATTTAGCAATCGATTGTATATATGGTTACCATTAAAGGTCAGTAGTAAGCGATAATCCAAGAAGACGTAAAGAGAAGGATTCAGTAATAGGATTGCCATTCATTAATATAGGAATGTTGACCATATTACGGTAGTTGTTTGCAGTAAGCAACTGGGTTTTTTTAGAGTTGAAATTCACAAGCCACTGTGAACCCCAATCTATTACTGAAGTGAGATCGGATTCAAGATTAGCTGCTTGTTCTAGGCGATCGAAATGAGAAGACTTTTTGTCAAGACAGGAGTATAAAGTTGAGTCATCAGCAAAAAGAGCTACTTTAGATGAAAGGTCGTCAGGAAGATCGTTTATGTAGATAAGAAACAAAACAGGGCCCAGGATGGAACCTTGGGGAACCCCAGAACTTAATCTTAAGCCTTCAAGGATGACTTTAATAAACCGATTAGAAAGAAATGATTTGATAATCTCAAAAACTTTCCCAGAAACACCATATGAAGCAAGCTTATGGAGAAGACCAGCATGCCAAACTTTGTCGAAAGCTTTAGATATGTCGAGAGCAATAGCCCTAGCCTCATCGCCTCCATCTAATGCACGATAAAATCTTTCAGTTACAGCAGTTAGCAAGTCGGCTGTAGAGCGAGAGGATCGAAAACTGTATTGTCTGACAGTAGTTTATTTGACTCAAGATGAGATGAGAGGAATTTGTTGATCAAAGACTCAAAGACCTTGCTATTAACAGAAAGACTGATTGGACGATAATTGGAGGGGTCAGAATTTTCTCCAGAGTTTTTGAATATTGGAACCACAGATGCCATTTTCCAACAAGCAGGAAAACAAGACTCAGTCAAACACTTGTTAAATAGTTTAGATAGGATTAAAGAAAGTTCTGGAGAACAATTCTGCAAGACTGTGACAGAAATGTTGTCTTGACCACAAGCTGTAGACGAGTTTAATTGAGATATGACTTTAGCAACAGAAGCCGGAGTGATTTGAATGTCTGACAATGAATCAACCTGTTTGACTGGAATAGAATGAAGAGAATGTCTATAAGATTCAAGAGTGGAACTAGAAGAAAAGTTCTTTGCAAATAGTTCTGCCTTATCCTTGGGAGAGGTAATAAGATCAGTCCCATGAATGAGAGATAGAATGTTAGATCTACCCTTGTTAATAATGCTGTTGAAGATTTTCCAAAAGTCTTTAGAGCCTAACTTCTGCGATAAGATGCAAGATTTAGTGAACTGAGAATAATGGAGTTTAGCATCAGAAAGCACCTTTTTACATCGATTTCTTGCAATAATAAATAGCCGTTTGTTCTCAAGAGAGTTGTTCTTTTGAAAAAGATGAAAAAAATGATTACGATTGGATATAGCAGCCGCACAAGAAGGAGAAAACCATGGAGTAGAATGAGGCTTGACTTGAAACGGACACAAAGGAATAATATATATATGTATATATAAAGTGATTTGTAAGTGAGAGGTTCTGAGTTCTTTGGTTTACTTATGCTGGAAGCACATATTTGGTTTTAATTGTCTTAGAGGGAAATTTATTATTAGTTTTGTTTACATACTTGAGTTATTTTAGTTTTGCTTTGGTGTTTTCATTAGAATTTTAATTTATTGTGAGTTCATGTTTTCTACCAGTGGTGTGGTAAATGATTTATTTATTTATTTTTTTCATTCTTAGGCTTTAAATATTTGTACACATACTTTTTATTTTGTATTAAATTTTTTGTTTTATAAGTTGTTGTTTGGTGATATTTGTTGTATATCTGTTTATTTTTGTTTGAAAAAAAATAATAAAAAATTTAATTGTAAGTACTGTTTGAGAGCATTGTCTGTCTTATTGTTGCCATGGTATTTGTATATTTTTGAATATTCATCTAATAATCTTTATTTTTGTCTTGACAACCAACAAAATATGCTTTGTTTGAAAAATAAATCCCTTTTATTCTAATGTACCTTATTTTTCCCTTAAGTGTTGATTGATTGTTTGTGACCATACAGCAAATTTATGTGCATAAATATTTTAAATTTTAGTTCTTATATGTAACTACTGGTATGCTTAAATTTTGGTTCTTTTACTTATGTTACCATAACTTTTTGTACTTATGTTACCATGAGTACAAAACAACCTGTGATAAAAATTAAAATTACGAGACACAAAGTTAACTATCTGAGTAAGAGATTGAGAAACGCAGAAGTTAAAGGCTTTATTGCCAGCAGGATCAGTGGTGTTAGAGCCAAGCCATTCAGTGTGATGGGCATTAAAATCACCAACAACAACAATATTGGCAGAGGGGTAAAGAGAGAGGGCATGGTCAATTTGATCAGAGACAACATCTAAAAGAGTGCAATCATGGGAAGAAGGAGAACGATAAAGAACAAAGAGAAAGGTGATAGAGTGAAGAGGTGCTAGGCGAAAGCACATAAAAGAATGGTCAAAGGATTTCACGACAAATAGGGGAATTAATGCATATGTATACCCCTAAACCTAGCATGTGACTATTGGAGTCTTTACGATTCAAAGGATAGTACCCATCAACACTGACATCTGAAGAAGGAATTGCAGAATTTATTGACTTTATATAACTTATTGTGTTTTATTTATTATGAAAGGGTTTTCAATAGGGTATATTGCAATTTTATTGTCTTTGGTTTACTTATGCTGGAAGCACATATTTGGTTTTAATTGTCTTAGAGGGAAATTTATTATTAGTTTTGTTTACATACTTGAGTTATTTTAGTTTTGCTTTGGTGTTTTCATTAGAATTTTAATTTATTGTGAGTTCATGTTTTCTACCAGTGGTGTGGTAAATGATTTATTTATTTATTTTTTTCATTCTTAGGCTTTAAATATTTGTACACATACTTTTTATTTTGTATTAAATTTTTTGTTTTATAAGTTGTTGTTTGGTGATATTTGTTGTATATCTGTTTATTTTTGTTTGAAAAAAAATAATAAAAAATTTAATTGTAAGTACTGTTTGAGAGCATTGTCTGTCTTATTGTTGCCATGGTATATATAAAAATAATCTTTATTTTTGTCTTGACAACCAACAAAATATGCTTTGTTTGAAAAATAAATCCCTTTTATTCTAATGTACCTTATTTTTCCCTTAAGTGTTGATTGATTGTTTGTGACCATACAGCAAATTTATGTGCATAAATATTTTAAATTTTAGTTCTTTTGTGTAACTACTGGTATGCTTAAATTTTGGTTCTTTTACTTATGTTACCATAAGTTTTTGTACTTATGTTATGTTATACCATGAGTACAAAACAACCTGTGATAAAAATTAAAACTACGCATTAAAAAATAAATAAAAACCTACAGCTTGTAAAAAAAAAATTTGTTTATAAATTATAGACTTCTTTTTCAACTATAGCTGATTGTAGTGTAACCAGGAACATGGTGGAAATCGAACTTAGAACCTCTCACTTACAAATCACTACA